TTTTTTCTTAAAAATTGCACAGGAGACGTCAAATTGATGGAGGAGAAGGTATGCCAAGTTTCAAGTAGATAGCGAAAGTGGTTCATGAGTTATTCAAGAAAAACGGAGGCGGGGGGTCGGATCCGACCCCCCCCCCAGGCGGTCGCGGGGTAATTATGGGATAGAGTATTGTAAAAATGTCAAAAGTTTCCGAATAAGCAAGTTTCCTTTCCCCAATGTCAAGGCAGATAATGCTATAACGTCGCAAAGTAGGACTTACCGACTGGAGATGGAAATGACTGCTGTGTACCATATTCCGTTCCCCCGATTCAAAAGCTCTCAGCGTAAAATTATTAAAGTTATTCCGTACAAAATAGCTTTAAAAAACAGCAAGTATTTCTGCGCATGTTTCTCGTACTCAAGTTCCCGGGAACTATTTCATGCTTACTAGTAGCGGTGGGGTTTACAGTGCCTGTTCGGAACCGTGGTAGTGCAACGACGCAATGAATTTAAATAAGGATATAAAGAAAACGTCACCGAACAACACGAAGATACACGTATTTGCTGCCTGACTTTCCTCAAGGTGTATAGCTTGCTGCCCAATGCAAATATTTTGCGCATTTTTGCGCGAAATGGACAAATAAGGGTTTAACCCTCGCCGGCATAGGCCGTTTTGCATCCCTCGACGGCACAGGGGGATGCGACCCTCCTCGCGTTTGGCCCCTAATTGAGCTAGAGCCTCGCGGAAAAACCATCGTGTAGGTCGTAACGAGACGAAGCCAACGGTACCCGGTTTTAAGGTCATAGGTCAAATGGTGACCTCTGAGGTCAGGTCAATGGCCGAAAGTCGGGACCTGTTAGAACGTCGTATAGTGTGGCTGCTAAGGGGTTTTTCGGGATGCTGATCACGAATATCATGTTAGTTTTGATCACAGATGATGTCTTCATGCATTTAGGCCAGGTCGGGTCAGCTCAGGTCAGGTCAACCAGTATGGGTCCTGCCGGGTATGTATTCGTAGTAGGTGTCAACCCGCCTCTGACAGCTTCGTAACATGTTACGAAGGCACCAAAACTACTTCGTAAATGTTCAAATGGTTCCTAAATTCGAATTCAGCTCCAAAAACTAGCCCAGAAACATGTAAAACTCGAAAAAGTGAACCGAGGTCATCGAAGGTCAATGACCTGACCTGACCTTCAGGTGACCTTTACACCCACCCTAATGCATGGGACCAACATCATATCACATCAGGCGCGGATCCAGGGGGGGCGACGGGGGCGGCCGCCCCCCCCCCCCGCCATCCGAAAAAGGCGCCCATATCCCGCGGCAGAGAGGGCGCCCCGAGCAGAAGAGCGGCGACACAGCAAAGGTTCAGCAGAAATAGGGCGCCTCCAGCAGAAGTTGGGCTCACCAAGCAGGAGAGTGACGCCCAATTGCCTATTCCCAGCAGATGAGAGTCGCCCCAGCAGCAGATGGGCGCCCCCAGCAGAAGAGGGCGTCTCGTTACAAGAATATAAAATGCCTTCTGTTCAAGAGGGGCGCCCCTGGCAGCGGAAGGGCACCCTTAGCAGGAGACGTGTCCCCCTGAAGAGGAGCGACGCCCCAGCAAAAGGAGAGAGGCGCCCCCATTCCGAGAAGAGGGGCGCCCTGACAGCAGCTGGGCGCCCCAGCAAAAAAGGAGCCCCATAATAAGAAAATGGGTGCCACTGGCAGAAGAGGGGCGCCCCAGCAGAAGAGAGGGGTCTCCAGTAGGAGACGGGCGCCCCAAGCAGAAGAGGGGCGCCCCAGCAGAAGAGAGGCGCCACAGCAAAAGTTAATCAGAAATAGGCAGCTTCCAGCAGAGGTTGGGCCCGCCAAACAGGATATGGGCGCCCCATTGACAATATCCGGCAGAAGACAGACGCCCCAGCAGAAGATGGGCGCCCCGGTAGAAGAGGGGCGCCCCATTACAAAAAGAAAAGGAGTATATTCTACCAAGAGGGGGGGGGGGGGTCGCCCCTGACGACAACGGAAGGGCAACCCCAGCAGAGGGGCGGTGCCTCAGTAAAAGGAGAGGTGTGCCCCGTTCCGAGCAGCAGAGGGTCGCCTCGCCCCAGAAAAAAAAAACAGGAGCCCCATAAGAAGAAAAGGGGTGCCTCTGGCAGAAGAGAGACGTTCCCCGCAGTGGAAGGGCGCCCCCACAAGGGTGGCGTCTCCAGCAAAAGAGAAGTGCCCCCTGCAAGAGAGGGGCACCCCACCAAAAGTTGGGCAGAAGTGGGGCGTCTCCAGCAGAATTTGGGGTCGCCAAACAGGAGAGGGCCGCCCTATTCACAGTAGAAAAGACTCCTCAGCAGCAAAGGGGCGCCCTAACAGAAAAGGTGCACTCGTAGTAGAAGTGGGACGCATCAGGAAGAAGAGGGGCACTTCTAGCAGAAGATGGGCGTCCCAGATAAGTGGGCCGCCTACAGCAAATTGGTCGTTCTTAGAAGGAAGAAATGAGGCGACTTAAGCAAAGTGGGTCTCTCCATAATGGATTACGCGATCCAAGCAGAGGTTGGGCGCCCCCGGGAAGTGAGGCATGCCAGCATAAGTGAGACGCTTCCAGAAAAAGGAGGGGGCATCACCGGGAGAAGGAGGACTGCACCAGTAAATGGAGGTCACCTTTTTGCTAATATCTTTTGCTAGGGTAGCGGTGCCCATCTACGACTTTTAACCCGTGCCGTGCTGGTGGTCTGAGTTTTCCGTGTCCTGCTGGGGAGGGGGTGGGGGGCACACTCCCTCGTCTAACTCGGCTCCTGGGCCGCGTAGTGACACGCGATAAGCGGTATTCGAAAGATCGTCAAAAAACAGGACGAAAACAAAACGGTCATTTTTTAGGTCAGGTCGAATGTCAGGTCACCAGAGGTCATCAAAGGTAAAATGTTGTCTGTTTCAACATTTTCCGTTTTCGAAGCAGCGGCACAACTCGGAAACCAATAGAGCTATAGCGCCGCAGAAAAGCGCATTCGATAGCCCTTTTAAAGGTGTTTCTGCAAGCTGCGCTCAGATTTGACCTCAGGTCAACGGTTTAGCCTTCAGAGGGCAAAAGACTCTAAAAATAGCCTTTTTACGAACTATGTTTTCCTGCAATAACTTTTGACTCAAGAGAGTATCGACATTACGTTTGCCAGCATTGCGTTTCTGTCGTCGAGACACGTCGAACAAACTAAAGGTTGACCTTATGAAGGGTAATTTTGAGAATTTGACCTCCGGGAAAGGTCATGCTGCATAGCAGTCGATGCGTATCGTCGAGCTGAACACAGCTGAGGTGTTTTTATCGCTCTAGCTTGAATCTATCAAAAGTTATTTTAAAAAAAAACTGCTGCGGACCTTTCATGACATGGGATGACTTCTGGGACATAGTGCCAGTGGTCACACTAGGTGCAATGTTCTTATTCAGTGTGTTAATTTTATATGTATCCCAATGCTTGATATTGTCTAGAATGGCGCTCGTCCAAAAGAGATGCCTCTCAGTTTTCTCCCAAAGACTTAATTATACCTACCTACCTAATGGAGACGTCGCACAACTGACCTGACCTTAGGTCACAGATATCGAAATTCCGAGATATACATTTCATGAATAGTGTTGCTTTCATCAATCGCTGAAAGGTTCAAAGCAATCGTTCAGTCGGTATAGCAATGGTAAGCATTTGAACTTTTTCTTACGCTAGGTCACTTGGCATAACCTGGTGACCTAACCTTCCATCACCCGCGTCAGACATTTTTGCAACATGTGCAAACAAGATGCATGATAAGGCATGCTGAAAATGGCGGCGCTGCGCGCAGCCGTTTTTCAGATATTTGCGAAAAACTTGAGGGGGAGCGCGATAACGCCCCCTAGCACGGCGCGGGCTTTTAGCTCCCGATTTTGACGGTTTGGCGCCCCCTTTGTATGGAGCGCCCCCGGATTGCCAGGTCGCCCCTATTTCGACTTGCCGCCCCCCCCCTCCCGAAAATTCCTGGATCCGCCCCTGTATCACATGTTTGAACGCTTGAAACCACGAAAAGACTGCAAACGCGCGGCCAATGCGGCATAGTGCCCGCCTGTCCCAGGCATATGTGCAGCGCAGAAATTAAATAATGACGTCATAGGTCAGTGACCTAGCGTAACCAATCAAATTTGAAAATGGATATCGGATTCGGCTTTAGCATGATATTTTACCCTGTAACGAACCAGTATAACGCCTTTTGGGGCGAATAACGGAGCGAGCGAGAGGGTGAGCCTTGCACGTGCGAAATTGCGAGGGGGTACCTCCAACTGAGTTGTGCACGGCACCCTACTAACCGGTCTCTAGCGATGTGCCAAATTTGAGCACAATCGGCCCAGCCGTTCTCGAGATCTGGAAGCGGCACCCTGCACGTGCGCACGTGCAAAATGGGTCCCAACTGACTTTTGCACTGCACCCTACTAACCGGTCCCTAACCATGTACCAAATTTCAGCGCAATCGGTTCAGCCGTTCTCGAGATCTGGGACTGGAATCGACCCCTGCACGTGCGCACGTGCAGCAGCACCCCCACTGTGGCACATGGATATGCATTGCCTAGTGGGTGCCTACCTACGTGCCAACTTTCAGCGCAATCGGCCCAGTAGTTACCGAGATATTGCAATTGTTACAAAACTGACACCTCTTCGTTTTGCACGTGGCACGTGCATAAGGGGTCACCCACATTCATCGGGAATAGTCCAATACTTGGCAGAAGGAATGAAGCTACCCTACAAAAATTACCGCATGTAAATCGGTCAAGTGGTTGCTGAGATATAAGCGTCGCAAAAGCGTGACCACGGCCGGCCGGCCGGCCGGCCGCTCATACTCAGAAATTTCCGTTATTCTACGTAAGACTCCGCTCGCTTCGCTCGCTCCGTAATCATTTTTGGCACCGCAGCTGTGCTCATTGATTTAATTCCGCTTTTTTGAAGCGCCTGGCCCACTGTGCGACGGGACATGGTGCTGCCATCTGTTGTCGAGTTCCGACACCGCTGACGGCACATGAGCGGACGAGGCACCGGGAAGATAGTCGTCTAGCCAAAGTACTTCAAACAGATTTTGCTGCCGTTGGGAGGCTTGGTAAGCTTGGCGTATACAGACTCTGGAAGCGGAACACGTCAGATTACACACTGATTGCTAATGATGTTACATGGGGCAACTCAAACTGATGACGTCACCTACAGATACATAAACGAACACAATGACATTGTGTGTATCACTGAGTAATGACGTCATGAGGGCTGATACTGATACTGTGACGTCACTTTCGGAGATACACGTCACCAAGCGTGACGTCAGTACTGGTGACGTCACGTGCGTCAGTGTGTGTCCGAGAGGCCGGTGGCGCCGTGTCGGCTGGTGTGGGTGGTCAGAGACGCCGTCACTTACTGGGGACATTGAAATCGATGGTCCGGGACTGGCCACCGTCACATCCCAGGTCTGTCTCGTGCAGGGCGGTCAGGACGGCCTGGCGGTTTTCGAGTGAGGATTTGATGTACAGTGTCTTCAGTTTCCTGCAGGTCACTGCCATCCTGCAACAAGATCAGAACAAAACAGAACAGGTCAGTATACGGGACACAGTCACACAGTGGCACCAGCGGTCGACTCAACACGGAGACACTGCATTGTCAGTGTCGTTTATAATATAAAATGTGCCTCCGGCTATCTCAAGTTCCCAGTCTGATGCAGTAGAGCGCTATGGATGCTTTACACGATACTGTGAGCCATATGATATTCCATGCCATCTCTGTAGGTTAAACTCTGACCATCTCAGACATGTAGGCATAAATAAATATTATATTGCAGTTCTCAGGCCAATGAGACTGTCTATAGGTCGTACTGATATGTTGTGTCTTCAATTCCAGTGGAGTTGACTTCCGGTCTATCATGCACTTGAAATGGCAAACGTTATAGAAACTAGCTCAGCCCATGTCTTGTCCTATGCTTATTCACCCTTCACGTTCCCGTTGGTATTATTTTTATTGTTTTGGTCTTGTACTGAATTGTTATGTATGTGTACGTTGTGCACTATCCATATGCGTGTTTACTACTCTATACTTTGCGTCATTGAACTAAATAAGGGAGTGGGAAATATTGTTCCAACCAGTCTACAATAACCACTGTAAGTAACTACGGTCTGACTACGGACACGATCTTTTGTGTCGCCTTTTCCCATTGTGGATGAAACATTGCACACGGAGCAACAGCGCAAATACTTCGTTCGTCTCTCCGACGAGTAGTTTTGGTAAAATTGCGTAAAACGGCCGTCAATATCTTTTTATGGCCTGACTAAAATGAGTTCACACCTCTGGAATGACAGTAATACCTACTTGGAATCGAAGTTGTTTTAGATACCTATTGCTATTGTTATTACGCAGCATTAGGATGAAGAACGATGCAGTCTAGCTAACAAATCTGCCCGTCCGTCTGTCCGTCTGTCTGTTTGCATCCATGCATTTATTAATCTCCAGCATATTATCTGTCAGTGGATGCATATTCTTCTGTGACGTGATCGTTTTCATTTTCAACGTCTCTGTGCCCATACTCCTATGTATACCTCCACCGGATGCGTTATCTCCGGGCTTATTGCGGTCTATCCAGTTACACATAATATCCGCCGGCGCCGTCCGGCCGACTGACCTGCTGACCGCTGCCACCTCTGACTGGGTCAGGGCAGGGATGTCCGTGAGGGGCCGGGTGTCTTGAAGCTCCAGTGTATTCAGCTGGGAGCAGCCGTAGAGGGCGGCTAGCGTAGTTTCGGAAATGGCGTTTGCTCCATTAAGAGGGACGTCCTCCAAGCTGGTGAGGAGTGAGGACAGTCAGGAGGCGTCCCGTCGCTTCCGGTGTCACGGACGGTGACGCTGTAAAATATATATATATATATATATATATATATATATATACAGACAAACATACGAACTGAAATGGCAAATATCACTAATATTCATAGCAAAATTTAATAACCAGTAAGACGTCTTTCACGTAACGAGCGGGCGAGCAGATTAGTGGATCCTGCACGTACCCACATACAAAGGAAGACCAAACTGCTTTGTGTGGGCTACCCTTCTAATTGGTCTCTAACAGCGTACCAGCCTCGAGCACAATCCCGAATCTGGCCCTTTGCACTTGAGATGCATAAGCGGCACGTTGTCATGGGCGTGTGCATTAGCACCTCAGCCGTCGCCGTGAAACATGTACTCCAAACTACAAACAGAACGGGTGGGCGTGGAATAAGACTAAATTTATTGCGCACGGTACCTACAGAGACCAGCGTCTTTGTACATAGGCAAAAAATTATTGAATGTATGTACATTGTACATACTTACATACGCCTACGGGTGATATACCCCATTCGTCTGTCATGATCACGAATCACGATATATCGGCCCTTGTAATTCTGGGAAAGATGTGGGAGTGGGAGATGAAATGCTCGTGCTGTTGATGCTCACCCCATATGGCCAGCCCCGTGACTGTGCGGGTCGCTAGAACAGTCAGCTGGTCCAGAAGTGTGTCAGTGCCTTGCTGGATACTGACATCCAGTTCAGACGTCGGCCATCGCGGCACCTTTAATGGTGCCTCGGTCATACCCGATCCTGTGGAGAGCAACACAATCTCCCATCAACACAGGGAAGAGAAACATCGTCACCAACCAGCCGTTGTCATTTTGCGGCAATAGTTTTTTATATTTAGCCTACGTCATTCACGACAGCCAAACTCACAAAGCGATAACTTTATCAGGTCCGTGCTCACGAAAAAAGCGCTAGTAACTAACGCAATCCTCCAAATCACCACGAAGCCGTCCTCACCAGTAATGTCCAGTCTCTTCATCGACTTGGGCAGCAGCCGCAGCCACTTGCCGGAGCTGTCCACAGGTGGGCTCACATCGAGCCGCTCCAGAGCCTTCAGCGGCTCCAACAGCGCCTCCAGCTGCCAGTCGCTGATGCCGGCCGGCAGCGTCAGCTCACGCAGACTGGAAGCGTTGGCACGTGCCAGCCGGCGCAGGGCAGAGACCCGCAGCTTGAAGCCACGCAGGTTCGCCTTCTCTAGAGCGTGGCAGGTGGCCGCTGGAATAAAGCAACACCAGTCAGTGAAGAAGTGATCGCTCATATGGACAAGGAATGACAGTTACAGCGGAATATAGCGTACCAGGTTGTGTGTAGCGCGTTTCACACGGTACTCACCGACCAGTCGGAGGTCGGTGTCCGTCTCAGTGGTCGGCGCCTGCAGTTCAGTCAGCTTCGGCTGGTCCTGCACCTTCACTAAATCACTACGAGCTCTAGGCTCGTGGCCGGCGCCGGGACCTCTCCACCGCGGGTTTGCTGATCGGTTAGCTCCCGCCGACAGTCGCTGAAGATATCGTCGACGGCGGACCGCCACCGACGGCAGACTGTCAGCAACGATGGAACAAAAAGGGACGGAGCACTTTGAAGAGAACGTCATTGTTCATTTAAAGACAGCTTTGGTAATGGTATCTTTAACCCGCGCCCGGCTGGGGGTCCTGGATTTCCACGCCCTGCTGGGGGGGGGGGTGTTTGAACACCCCCCTTGTAACTCGGCTCCTGGGCCACGTAGCGATACGCGGAAGGCGGCGTTCGAAAGAGCGTAAAAAATAATGACGAAATCACTTCGGTCAATGTTTTGGTCAGGTCAAAGGTCAGGTCACCAGAGGTCATTGAAGGCAACATTTCGCCGATTTCCAGGTCGAATGTCGAAAATTTCCAAGAAGCCAACGCATAACTCGGGAACCAATAGAGCTACAGCGCAGCGGAAAAACGCATTCGATAGCCCTATTAACGCCCTTTCTGATTAATCCTCTCAGATTTGACCTAACGTCAACGGTTTTGCCTGCAGGGGGAAAAAACTGCAAAAATAGCCGATTTTTTCGGAAACAGTTTTTCCGCAATAACTTTTGACCCAGGCCCTGTACGAGCTTACTTTTACCGGCATCGTGTTCCTCTCGTCAAGACGCATCGAATGAACTATAACTTGACCTTGAAAGGTCAACTTGAAAATTTGACCTCAGGTCAAGGTTATGACCTGACCGGAAAGGGTCATGTTGCATATCAGTCGATCCGTATCGTCGAGCTGAACACAGCTAAGGCGTTTTCATCGCTCTAGCATGCCTCTATCAAAAGTTATTTGCGAAAAACTGTTAGATACCATTCGTGACCTAAGATGACCTCAGGGCATAAACAAGGGTCACGGACACCATTTTCGTGTTCAGTGTGTCTAAACCACTTGTAATTCGGTGTTTGGGAGTGTTTATAATGTCTTTCGTCCAAAAGAGGCGCATTTCAATTTTCTCCAATTGACTTATTAATGGGGAGGTCGCAAAATTGACCTGACCTTAGGTCATCGATATCAAAATTCTGAGATAAACATTTTGTACATGCTATTGCTCTTAGCAATCGCTGAAAGTTTCAAAGCGATCGGTCATTCGGTGTAGCTATGACAGACATTGAAACTTTTTATGAGGTGAGGTCACTTCAAGTGACCTGGTGACCTGACCTTGAATGACCTTGTTCTGAAATTTTTACAACAGGTGTAGAATTGATGTATGATAAGGTATACCAAAAACGGCGGCGCGGAGCGCCGCCGTTTTTGAGATATTCGCGAAAAACCACAAGTGGGGTGTTCAAACACCCCCCCCCCCCAGCAGGGCGCGGGTTAATGAAGCATGATCTACACCTTTTAAGGCGCAATTTCAAAAATTTAAAGACCAAATTCAAAAAGTTTACATTCAAAATGCACGTGAACGTTTTGAATTTGGTCTTTAACTTTTTGAAATTGCGCCTAAAATGCTGTATACTCCTTCCTACCGTCCTGAATACAATGTCAGTCGCCAGAACACTCACCCCGCCTGGCGCGGATCATTTCCCAGCAGTCCATCTTGCTCAACACCATCTTCAACAACTCGTGGTCCAGAAGATAAATGGCAGGAGCCCATTGCGGTGCAGCCTCTCGCACGTCGCCGCCCGCCAGTCCCGCCTCCTCCGTAGTTGGGGTTATGACGTCACAGGTGCTGATTGCGTCACACTTGTCACAAGTGTCGGCCTTCAGTGAAGCCACCTCCTCGCCGTCACTGGGAAGGAATGACGTCAGTGTGACGTGGTGTGACGTCATCAGGGGTCAGTGATTAGGCGATCCCATCCAGTGTTCTTTGCCCCCCCCCCCCCCCCAGTGCCACCCAGGGGCGTAACTTTTTGGTTTTCGTTGGGGGGGCAACGCTGTCGGGGGCGCCTTTTTAAGGGCATGGGGGCGCCTCCCCGTGACTGTCTAGAAATAAGTCTTATTTCAGTTTACGGCAGCATTTTTTTTACCATAGCACGTTGTTTTTGTGCCGTCGTGTTTTGGCACGTTATGTTGCAGTTTTTTTTTTCTGAAATAGCGCGCCAAAAGCGCGGAATTATTTTGTAACCAAATACATTTTGAAAGCACTTTGGGGACCAGAGACCGGGGGCGGGTAGTGGAATTGGGGACCAGGGTAGTGACGCCTTATTAACCCTCGCATGTGTAGGGGGGGGGGTCGGATGGACCCCCCCCCATGGTTTTTCGCGAATAACTCGCGTAAAAAGCGGCCGATCGCGACGAAACTTTCAGTACCCTCACATTGATCAATTTTACACCTACCCTGAAAATTTCATGACCCTGACCCAAATGACCTTTGACCTGTGACCTCTTTTCCGAGACCATGTTTGGCCGGAATCGCGATTCTGCGTATGTCGGCTCGCATTAGCCGCGCGTTTGCAAGCTTTTCGTGGTTTCAAACGTTCAAACATGTAATTTGATGTTACTCCCGTGGGTGTCAAGGTCACCTGAAGGTCAGGTCAGGTCATTGACCTTTGGTGACCTCGGGTGACCTCGGTTCACTTTTTCGAGTTTTACATGTTTCTAGGCTAGTTTTTGGAGCTGAATTCGAATTTAGCAACCATTTGAACATTTACGAAGTAGTTTTGGTGACTTCGTAACATGTTACGAAGCTGTCAGAGGCGGTTGACACGTACTACGAATACCCGTCACGACGCCTACTGGTTGACCTGACCTGACCTGACCCGACCTGGTCTAAATGCTTCAAGACATCATCTGTGATCAAAACTAACACGATATTCGTGATCAGCACCCCGAAAAACCCCTTAGCAGCCACTCTTTACGACTTTCTAACAGGTCCCGATTTTCCCGACTTTGGGGTCATTGACCTGACCTGGAAGGTCAACCAATGACCTAGGACCTTAAAATTGGGTATCAGCGGCTTCCTCTCGTCACGGGCAACACGCTCGTTTTTTCCGCGAAGCTCTAGCTCGATCAGGGGCCAAACGGCAAGGGGGGGGGTCCAACCGACCCCCCCCCCCCTACACATTAGAAGCTGGCAAACGCCGCACACATGCGAGGGTTAAACAACGCATATGGTAGTTCTTCTAAAGAAACGAGACGAACTGATGAATTGACAAAAAGAAAAGAAAAAACAACTGATAAAAAGGCGAGATTAAAGAAACAAATCTGTAGAACTTCACCCCACGCAGAAGCGAGGGACATTTTTACGCCTCCCCTTTTAAGTTAAGAACACACTTCATACTGCATCTTTTCCGCACGTGTTCTAGAAGCAAACCAGTGGCAAAAATTTGCCCTCATCGAAAAAAATAAAAAAAATTGCCCCCCTCCCCGCCCGCGCCGGGCCGGGGGGGGGGGGAGTGAACACCTCCCCTGCGGTTTTTCGCAGATATCTCAAAACTCCGCGCCGCCGTTTTTGGCACACCTGTTCATGCATCTTTTTTTTTACACATGTGCAAATTTCAGACCCAGAGCTCTCAAGGTCAGGTCACCAGGTCACGTCAAAAGACCTCACCTCAGAAAAAAATTGCAATCCTCGTCATAGCTACACCGACTGAAGGATCGCCTTGAAACTTTCAGCGATTGATAAGAGTAACAGTATGTCTAAAATGTTTATCTCGGAATTTTGATATCAGTGACCTATGGTCAGGTCAATTTTGCGACCTCTCCATTATAAGTCAATGGGAGAAAATTGAAATGAGCCTTTTTTGGACGAATGGTATTTAGAACCCTCTCAAACATCGTTTCATAGGTAAACATGATACACTGAATCGGAAAAAAATGCACCTGTGACCCCTCTGTGTGCCCTTGAGGTCATTTCAGGTCATAGACGGTCACCACCAGTTTTTTTTGGCTGTAACTTTTGATAAAGGCGTGCTAGAGCGATGAAAACACTTCAGATGTATTCAGCTCGACGATACGGATCGACTGATATGCAACATGACCCTTTTCGGTCAGGTTATGACCTTGACCTGAGGTCAAATTTTAAAAATGACCTTTCAAGGTCAAAAAATAGTTCATTCGACGCGTCTCGACGAGAGGAACATGATGCTGCCAAAAGTAATGTCGTGGCACTCTTAAGTCAAAAGTTATTGCCGAAAAACAGTTTTCGTGAAAACTGCTATTTTACAGTTTTTGCCCTTTGGAGGCTAAACCGTTGACCTTAGGTCAAATCTGAGAACAATGGTCAGAAAGGTCTGTAAAAGGGCTATCGAATGCGCTTTTCCGCGGCGCTGTAGCTCTATTGGTCCCGAGTTAGCCGTTGCAGTTTCCAAAATTGTTGAAATGGCCTACATTTGACCTTCGATGACCTCAGGCGACCTGACCTTTGACCTGACCCAAAAAATGACCGAAGTGTTTCCGTCATTATTTTTGACGCTCTTTCGAATGATGCTTACTGCGTGTCGCTACGTGGCCCAGGAGCCGAGTTAGACCAGACACCCCCCTCACCGCCCGGCGCGGAAGTCGCGGAGCACCAGCCCGGCGCGGGTTAATCCCAGGCTGAGAGCGTTCAAGCTTAGGTCACCCATATACCTCTGTATACCGAGACATGCAGAAGTCTGTGGCTCACCAGGTGATATCAAGTTATCACGAAATGATAGGTACAAATTACTCCTGCTTTGATCTAGAGGTGGCAAAACGTGAAAATTTTGGGAACCAGACTCGAACCAGACCCG